ATAAAAAGCGAAGCCGCTACACATATGATGTCGCATACAAAGAAAAAAAACAGAGTATAATGCATTGTTGGAATCTAACAATGTAAATTAATTTTTGAAAATGACCACATAAAGTGTTTATCATTTTAGCTATTGATTTTTCGATGTATATAACTAATGAGCGTAGCGATATGTTGGGTCTACTTGTTATATAAATAGTAATAAAGATCATTATACACAATTTATTGAAAATTAATATATATTATGTTATTTAATTTACATTTTAATTTATCGAATATACAGTCCATTATTAATTATAGTTCTTGATTCAAACAAACACACTACAACTAATTCGACACACACGTTGTATATTTTTTTAAGTTTTATTATAACAAATAAAGTGAGGGGAGAAACCCGTACCCATTTCCTTTTTTTCTTTTATCAAAATTATTGTATTTTTTACTTCCAAAATATATAAAATATTGAATAGTCGAGTCAGTTTAGTTTCTTTTTCTTCTTTTTTATTTTTTTTCAAAAATTAAAAATAATTTGAATTTGATTTGGCATTGAACTGTTGTGATACAGAAACAACCCGTTTTTTAACGAATTTTTAACGAATTTTTAACGAATTATAACAGTGTTTCCAGGGTCGGCCAAGATCCAGTTTTTAAACAACTTCGTGGCAATCTCTAATACGTGTCAGTTCATTTTAAGTTTTAGCATGTTGTCAACAAAAAATTTAAAAAGTTTTTTAGAGTTAAAATGTTTTTAGAAATTGGTAAAACTATAGTTAACGATATAAACAAAATTTTTATATTGTTTAAATCGTCATTTTAATGTGTTATAAAACTAAAGACAATGATAAAAGTACACATAACCAGTGTGAAATTTGCCATTTCTTGTTTGACAAAACAAATAAATTATAATAATCGTAATAAAAAACACAATTAATTATTTTCACTGAATGACGCATTGATAATAGCGGTAATTATTAACATTGAGTAACATGCTTTTGTGTTATAGTGAAAATGATAAAGTCGAAACAGTTGTAAAATAATATAACAATAAAACGAATCCATTATGCATCGCTTTTACAGACAGCGATGCATCTGCAATTGATTATCAAGCAACTTAAATATAAAGAATAATAATAATAATTTAAAAATTTTAATTGACAATAAAAAGATAAATTACTTATAATGTAAAACACAACAAAAATTAAAAATATACACCAAATAAAACAATAAAATAGCATCGATAGACAAAGAAGTTTGGTTTTTTTGTTGTTTGAAAAATAATAAACATAGTTATGGTTTACCTTATTCATTTTAAACACTCTTTTTCAATAGATTATTAAAACGTGTAACTGTATACATCAAATTGTCAAAAGTCATTAACAAACAATTGGTTAAACAGTCCACATATTTGACAAGAAGTTAGACAACAATATAAAAACATGTGGATTATATGTAATGGAGGGAAATTGTTTTAAACAATATATATTGACACT